GAGAGAGAGAGAGAGAGAGAGAGAGAGAAGAGAAGAGAGAGAGAGAGAGAGAGAGAGAGAAGAAGAGAGAAGAGAGAGAGAGAGAGAGAAAGAGAAGAGAAGGAGAGAGAGAGAGAGAGAGAGAGAGAGAGAGAGAGAGAGAGAGAGACAGAGGAGAAGAGAGAGAGACGAGAGAGAGAGAGAGAGAGAGAGAGAGAGAGAGGAGAGAGAGAGAGAGAGAGAGAGAGAGAGAGAGGAGAGAGAGAAGAGAGAGAGAGAGAGAGAGAGAGAAGAGAGAGAGAGAATGAGAGAGAGAGAGAGGAGAGAGAGAAGAGAGAGAGAGAGAGAGAGAGAGGAGAGAGAGAGAGAGAGAGAGCCCCAAGAAGGGCCTCTGTAGGCCCCGGACTGCCTAGACCAGCTAATCTGTCCTTATTCCTTACCTTGCCAGAATGCCTAGCCTGTACCCAGGTTCCAGCAATACAAAGGACCGTTTGAGAGAGAGAGAGAGAGAGAGAGAGAGAGAGGAAGTGATGAGAGCGTGGAGACAAGGGGTTGGGGGGGAAAAGGCCGGGACTTTTGGTTAAGGGTTATGTAGTGTGCATTATGCCACTGCATTGGCTGGCAGGGGTGAGTTGTTACGGAATGGTTTGTGTGGTGCGAGGCACAGCACAGCATGGGTGTCTACCTGTGGGAGACCAAAATGCGAGGCGCTAGAGCGGTCGGGGCGAAGGGCGTCCTGGGGGGATGGGGAGAAGGCACAAGGGAGGCGGGTGGAGGTGGGCATGGGGATGCTGCCATGTGCTCACAAATGGGGGCAGGAACGGGAGCAGGCATGGGAGCAAGCATGGGAGCAGGAGCGGGGGCAGGAACGGGAGCAGGAACGGGGGCAGGAACGGGGGCAGGAACGGGAGCAGGAACGGGAGCAGGAACGGGAGCAGGAACGGGAGCAGGAACGGGAGCAGGAACGGGAGCAGGAACAGGAGCAGGAACGGGAGCAGGAACGGGAGCAGGAATGGGAGCAGGAACGGGAGCAGGAATGAGAGCAAGTAATTTGAGAAGCCCCACATGGAGGGGAATGCAGTCCAGGCAATGGAGAGGGGGAGAGTGAGAGTGAGAGGAGGGGACGGCATTGAGGGGGTTGGAGTTGGCAGGGGAGATCCATACGAGGATGAGCAGCTTGCAGTCTCGCAGCAGGGGGTAGGTGGCCTCCGGGATGGCGCTCACGTCACTGGCAGGGGAGCACGCCGTGGGCAGCGACAGATGGCGAGAGGATGCACGTGTGAGTGACGGGGAAGACGGAGGCGAAGGGAGAGAGCAAGGGGGCATGAATGAGATGCAAGGGCACATGCGGTAACAGCTGGTGAGAGACATGTAAGGAGATGGTGACATGGGGGGTGACAGGGCTGGTAGGCAGCACGCAATATTACATGCAGTACAGCACACGCCTCTCAATCTTCCCTTATGGGAGACTCATTAAAAGTGTCACACACACCTCATGCGCCCACCCCACCTGATGTAGCACACATCACCGAAGCGGTAGCCGAAGGAGAGGTAGTTGGCGCCGTGCCACACAGGCAGTGGGGTCACCTGATGGGGGGAGGGAGGCTCGGGTGGGTCTGAGCATGGGAGTGGGAGTGTGAGTACATGAGTGCTTTTCCACTCACTCCTGCTGCATGCAGGTATTCGTTCTCAGCGCTGGAACTGCCCCATGCGAGCACAGTGGGCTGCCATGGGAGGGTGGGTGCACGGCAGGCAAGCCACTGGGGACATGGGTGCCCTTTGATGCCTGCTCTGCAATGCACCTTCACATGGGTGGCATGGGGAACGCAAAGTGCAGCATGGGGAGCATTCACACAGACGCCATGGCGTGGCACACAGACAGCATGGTGGGTGGCGGCACCTTGAGGCTGTGCACGTGGAAGGGCGCGGCGTCGATGGCATGGAAGTGCAGTGCGGACACGGCAGTGCCGGGGATGAGCGAGGACGTGTCCACCAGGTAGTAGTGCGTCTTCTCCATCACCTGGGGGGCACGCCACCACACCGGGTGGGAATGCATGCAGGCAAGGCGCGACGCAGAGGGAGACGGAGAGTGTGAGAAGGGTGAAGGAGGCGGTGGGGTGTGAGGGAGCGAGGGAGGGGTGTGAAGGAAGTTGCCGTGCTTTGTGGCTGGCATACAGGGAGAGGTCCAGGGGGAGTGGGGGGAAGAAGGATCGAGCAGTGTTGTGGGAGGCCCAACAGGTGGTTGCCCAAAGATGGAGAGAGGAGGGGCGAGCACGGATCGACAAGCACAGCAATGGGAATATGGAGAGGGGGAGGTGGGGTATTATTTGGAGCGCGAGGCTCCAACAGTGAGCATTGTGTGAGGCATGGTGCGAGGCATGGTGCGAGGCATGGTGGGACGCATTGGTGGGAGGCATTGGTGGGAGGCATTGGTGCGAGGCATTGGTGGGAGGCATTGGTGGGAGGCATTGGTGCGAGGCATGGTGAGGCATGGTGGGAGGCATGGTGGGAGGCTTTGGTAGGAGGCATTGGTGCGAGGCATGGTGCGAGGCATGGCGCGGTGGCACATTGGCATATGACAGAACAGTATGCGATGGCGTGGCAGGTGGTGCCCCCCGGCGCACCTTGAGGTCTCTGTGGCTGGCGTACACGGGGATGTCGTCCTGCACGTTGTTGGTCCAGTCCCGCAGGTCGTCCAGCCCTGCCACCAAGCCCACACCACGCACACACCACGCACACACGGAGACAGGGTGAGGGGGAGACAAATGAATGAGTGCACGAGGGCAAGGCAGGGCGCTACCTAGACGAGAACCAGGTGTGGACATTATCGGAAAAGCTATCATGGCACTGCAGCAAGCAGTGGCAGTGGCAGTGGCGGTGGCCGTGGCGGTGGAGGTGGAGGCGTCGGCGGCGGCGTCGGCGGCGGCGGTGGCCGTGGCAGTGGCAGTGGCGGTGGCAGTGGCAGTGGCAGTGGCGGTGGCAGTGGCAGTGGCAGCGGCGGTGGCAGTGGCAGTGGCAGTGGCGGTGGCAGTGGCAGTGGCAGTGGCGGTGGCAGTGGCAGTGGCAGTGGCAGTGGCGGTGGCAGTGGCAGTGGCAGTGGCGGTGGCAGTGGCAGTGGCAGTGGCAGTGGCAGTGGCAGTGGCAGCATTGTAAAATGGCAGTGTGACCTCCAGCAGGAGCAGTCGGAACGAGCGAGGTGGAGCGGGGGCGCAAGCGGCGACAGTGCGAGGTGCATGGTGAGGGCCACATGCGTGCGATGACCCTGGGTGGCACACACACATCTGTGGCGGCCCCAGCACACTTGCACAGAAAGCTGCTCTGCCAAACGGCCTTCCCAAGGGCTGTGGGAGGTGATGGGTGGGTCTGATGAGGCTAACAGACACGCGGGTGAGCATGAAGCACGAAAGCACACGCTTTCGGGGGGTTGTAAGGTGCGCAGCGCTGACATCGGCATGATGGGTCCAACTCCCACTCTCATGCGCATCGCACCACCCATGCCGAACATTGCACCACGCAGCATGCACATCGAGTGGGATCCCTGTGAACTCCACATGCACGCCTTGGGCTCGCCTCCTGCACGGCGCTGCGCCACAGATCTGCTGCATCTCACCTGCTCAACACGCCCTCACTGCAGTGAAGGAACTAGCTTGGAAGAGAAAAGATTGAATTGAGTAGGGAGCCAAGAGGCTCTTTTTGTACAAAACAAGGAGCAAGGAAGAGTTGGAAGGGAAGCTCTCCTATTGGCCATAAAGTGGACCAATGGGGGAGGTTGCTTGTAGGGCAAGCAACCACAAAAGTGTGGTGCTCTCCTATTGGTCACAATGTGGACCAATGAGAGAGATTGCTTGGAAGGCAAGCAACCACAAAGTGTGGTGCTTGGTGATTGGTTGGTTCCTAGGACCAAAGACCATTTGGTTGGAATAGTGCCAACCAAATGTCTAGGACCAAATCCAATCTTGACCAACCCAAATGTGGGGTTGGTCAACCCAACCAACAACCCCCCAATAATTATAATGACTACACCTCCTAATCTAGGCATGCATGTTGTATAGATATATATTTTACAACACAACCCCCCAACATGCATAAGACTAGAGGGCTTGAATCAGGAGGCGGACGAGGGAACGGGGGGAGCGAGGCCAAGAAGGCGAAGGAGGGATGAGTGGGCGGCGTGGGGGAGGGCTTTGGTGAAGATGTCGGCAAGATTGGCAGCAGAGTCAATCTTGCCCAGCTGGAGGTGGCCACCCTGCACAAGCTCGCGAATGAAGTAGTGGCGAAGCTCAATGTGCTTGGAGCGCCCGTGGAACACAGCATCCTTCGTGAGGTGGATGGTGCTGGAGTTGTCGCACCAGATGGTGGGACAGCGCTGAGGGGCACCAAGCTCCTCAAGAAGGAAGGAGAGCCAGCGGGCCTCCTGCGCAGCCATGGTAGCGGCATACAGCTCTGCTTCGCAGGAGGAGAGGGCAATGGAGGAGGAGCGGGTGGAGCGCCAGCTGATGAGGCCGCTGCCAAGAGAGAAGCCATAGCCCTGAGAGGAGCGGCGGTCAGGCCTAGAGTCAGCCCAGGAGGAATCAGAGTAGCCAGTGAGGAGGGGAGGGGAGGGGCCGCCAAGGGTAAGGACGTAGTCCTTGGTCCCCCGAAGGTAGCGGAGGACACGCTTGGCCGCTTGCCAGTGGGCGGCATCATGCTTGCCTGTACCAACGAAGCGGGCCAAAACGCTGATGGGGTATGCTAGGTCAGGGCGGGTGGAGACCATGGCATACAAGAGAGAGCCGATGAGCTCAGCGTAGGGGTGGGAGGAGGAGGAGGGGGAGGTGAGGGGAGTGAGATGGTGCCCAACAGGAAGAGGGGTGACCTGAGGGGTGCCTCGAGCCATGTCGAACCGCTCCAGGACCTGCTGCAGGTAGTGGCCCTGGGAGAGGGAGATGGTGCGAGCAGCACGGTCGCGGGTAATCTCCATGCCGAGATAGTGCTGCAGCCCCCCTAGATCCTTACACTTGAGCCGGCTACCAAGCTCACGCTTGACGCGCTCGAGCTCGGCGGAGTCGGCAGTGATGAGGATCATATCGTCGACATAGACGAGGATGTAGAAGGGGGAGGGGGAGGTGCGGAGGAAGAGGCTGGGGTCGGCACGGGAGGTGCTGAAGCCAAGCTCGGCGAGGGTGGCAGCAAGCTTGGCATGCCATTCCCTTGGTGCCTGCTTGAGCCCATAGACCGGCCGACGCAGCTGCCAGACAGAGTCGGAAGGAAAGGGGAGGTGGAAGCCTGCAGGACGCTCCATGTAAATGAGCTCGCGCAAGACCCCTTGGAGGAAGGCGTTGGAGACGTCCATGGAGTGAATCTCCATGTTGAGGCGAGCAGCGAGGTCGAGGACTGCGCGAATGGTAGCGGGCTTGGCGGTGGGAGAGAAGGTGTCGAAGAAGTCGACAGCGTAGCGCTGGGTGAAGCCCTTGGCGACGTAGCGGGCCTTGTAGACCGGCGGCTCGCCAGGAAGCTGCTTCACCCGAAACACCCACTTCCCTTTGACCACGTTCGTGGTAGAGGGAGGGCGGGGCACATCCACAAAGGAGGAGTTGGCAATAAACGCCTCCAACTCCTTGAGGATGGCCGCGAGCCAGAGGTGAGCGTCAGGGCACGCCATGGCCTCCTCGTACGTGGCGGGGACGAAGATGATGGGGGCGGAGGAGAAGGCGAAGACTGGTGTGCCGCTGAGGTCAGGGGAGATGGGTAGGACGGCTGGATCATGCATGTGGAGGTTGAGGAACTCCTCATGGGAGTCCTCGAGGAGGGAGGAGTGGAAAATGAATGGGAGGACTGCTGCTGCTGCTGCTGCTGAGGATGCATCTGCTGCTGCTGCTGCTGAGGCGGCTGCTACTGCTGCGTCTGCTGCCGCCGCTGCTGCTGCTGCGGGTGAAGGCGAGGAAGAAGTGACGGCTGCTGCTGCTGGTGCTGCTGCGGTGGGTGGAACTGCTGCTGCAGCTGTTGCTGCTGCTGTTGGGACTGCTGTACTGGAGCTCGACGGCAGGGTTGGGCTAGTGTTTTGTTGTAAGACTGTCTGAAAAAGGAGGTCCATGAGAGGGGAGAGAGGAGGCAAGGTAGAGGAAGAGAGGATAACAGGAGGCGGGGCACCTAGGACTGCGTCACGCGACCTGGTGTGGGGATACCGGGTGAGGATGGAGCGGGTGGGACGCAGGGGGGGAGGGGGTCGCGGGGGAGAGGGGGGAGGAGGGGAGGGGGGAGGATGGGAGGGAGCGGAGGGGAGGAGTGGGACGGGGAGGCGGGGGGGAAAAAAGGGTCAGGGTCAAATATGTCACCAGAGGAGGGGGGAGCACTAGGGGCCGAGGCGGCGGGGAATGGAGGAGGCGGAGCGGGGGGGAGGATGGGAGGGGGAGGGAGAAGAGGGGGTGGGATAGTGTCGGACCAGTTGAGGGGCCTGGGAGAAGGGGCGAGAGGGTCAGTGGGGGGAGGAGTGGAATAGTAGGGTGTGGACTCATCAAAGACTACATCCCGACTGCGGAGGAAACGACCTGAGGGGGGTGAAGGAAGAGGTAGTCCGGTGAGGAGGGATTATGACCAAGGAAGATGCAGGGGAGGGTACGGGAGGCGAGCTTTCCCATGGTGCGGGGGCGGTCCGCAGGGTGAATGAGGACATACGCCCTGGAGCCCCACACACGGAGGGAGGAGACGTCAGGCTTGGCCGACGTCCAGAGCTCGGTGGGAGTGGTGGAGGGAAGGATAGGGTGGGGGTACAGGTTAGTAAGGAGGGTGGCGTGAAGGAGGGCATAGCCCCACAGAGAAGGGGGGCAAGAGGCATGGACGAGGAGACACCGAGCAATCTTGGTGATCTCCCGAACACGGCTCTCGGCCACACCGTTCTGCTGGGGGGAGTGGGGGAGGGTGTGAGTCTGGCGAATGCCATGAAGCTCACAGTAGGAGGCTACCTGACGATTAAGGAATTCGCCACCGCCATCAGAGTGAAGGCGGCGCACAGGGCGGCCAAAGTGGGTGCTCGCCTGCTTGAGCCAGGCGATGATCGCAGTCGGAGCGTCACCCTTCGAGCGAAGAAGGGAGACGGAAGAATATCGGCTGTGATCATCGACCAGAACAAGCATGTAGCGATGACCCTGGCGGGAAGGGGAGGGGTTGGGGCCCCAGAGGTCCATGTGAACAAGATCAAGCGGCTGAGCAGCAGCGGAGGGGGAACTCCGATGCGGCAGCTGCTTGAGCTTGGTCTGGACACAGACGGAGCAGGGAGGGGCAAGGGAGGGAGGGAGGGGAGGGAGGGTGAGGGGAAGACCTCGAAGGAGACCTGAGGAGACGGTCGAGCGGAGGGTGGCAAAGTTGGGGTGACCAAGCCTGTGGTGGAGGAGGACGGTGGGATGGGAGAGGGATCGACAGGAGCAGGTTGGGTCAGGGGGGAGGGGGGGAATGGTTGGGTTAGAAGGAGGGAGAGGAGGGGGGGAGATGTGAGGTGGGAGGAGGGAGCGGGAGACTGCTTGGGCAGAGGGAAGACGAGGAACTCGAAGGGTATATAGGCGGGAGCGAGGACAAAAGGGAATACGGGAGAGGAGGCGACCTGTGGGATGGTATAGGAGGCAGTGATGAGCGCGACCTGGGAAGACGGTGGTGATACCGGCCTGCTGCAGGGATCGCTGGGAGAGGAGGTTAGTACGGAGGGAGGGGATGTGTAAACCAGTGACGGTACCTGAGGGAAAGAGGGGACAGGGGAGGGTAGAGGTGTGGCGACAGGGAATAGAGAAGCTGGAATCGGCACCAAGGAGGGAGGTGGGGGCTGGGAGAGGGTGAAGGGTACCAGCATCACGAAGGACGGACTCGGTGGCTCCACTGTCAAGGACAAAGTCCAGCGTGGTGGAGGGGGGAGGATGTGGGGGAGGAGGTGGGACGGAGTACTGAATCACATTCTCATTAATAGCAGCCGAATACATGGAAGGGGCGGGGGTTCCAGCCTGACTAACCATGCCAACAAAACCAGAGGAGGGGAAGGGAGTCACACTGCCTGTGGCTGAGGGCGCGGGAGACGCGCCCGAGAGGTGAGCTGCGGAAGCGGCGGTGCCGGCGGTCCAAGCGGGGTAGGGCTGCTGGGGGGGAGCCATAGGAGGAGGTGCAAGGGGGAGCTGCGACTGGAGGTCAAGCTGTTGCTGGAGCTGGTGGAGCTGCTGCTGCAACTGGGAGAAGAGGTGATGCTGCCCCTGCTGCTGCTGCTGCTGGAACTGCTGCTGCTGCTGCTGAAACGGCTGCGGCAGGATCTGCTGCGGTGTCTGCTGCTGCTGCTGTTGCTGAGAGATGGCCTGGTGGGCCAAGGGGGAGGAGACGGGCTGAAAAAGAGGGGAGGTACGAACCTCCTGAGGAGTGGGGCGAGGGGAGAGGGAGGACCAGCGGGGGGGGGTGCCGGTGTTGCCGCGGGCAAACCACTCAGCACTGAGCGCTTTGAAGCAAGAATCAGTGGCATGAGTGGTCTGGCCGCAGCGCTGACCCCGCGTGGGGCCATAGCGAGGGAGATACTGGCAAGGAGGAAAGGCGGCTGCTGCACCACGTCCTGCGCCATTGGTACCACGACCCGCGCCACCACCACGACCAGCGCCACGCCCTCCCCCACGCCCTCCCCTGGTGTTGCGCTGCTGAGCAACAGCGGCAGTGGAGGAGGAATGGCGCAGGAGGTCGGCCTCGGTGGTGATAATCCACTGGGCGACTTCAGCCGGGGTGATGCGCTTGTCGATCAGCTGCATGTAGGCGATCTTATGGGTGTCGAAGGCAGAAGTCAAGCCTTCAAGGAGGTGGCAGCAGAGCACAGGGTCCGGGTACGGTACGCCAAGAGCCGCCAGGCGCCGAGCGAGGTCGAGGACGCGACGCGTGAAGGCAGCTGCGCCGGTGGTAGAGTCCATGGTGAGGCTCTGGAACTCCTTGATGAGGGAGTAGAGGGTGGCGACGTCCTGCCGATCATAGAGATCGGTGAGGAGCCGCCAGAGGTGGGAGGAGGAGGTGGGAGCAAGCTCGCGCTTGAGGGTGGGAGGAATGGTGGCGAGGAGGATGGTGAGCGCGCGCCGGTCAGCGACACGCCAGGCAGCGAGGTCGGTGATATATGCGCGCTCGCGACTGACGTACTCCGCGAGCGCCGCCTGATACGTGTTGTAGGCGGCAGTGGCGGCGTCATGCTCGGCGCGGGAAGCCTCGAAGAGCAGCTGCTGGCGGACGTGGTCGGTGAGGCCGGCACGGTAGGTGCGGATGGCGGTCTCGGAGCTCTGAGGGTCGTTGACGTCAGGGGCGAAGGTTGGAGGATCGCCGGGGCTGACGGGAGGATCGCCAGGAGGAGGAGGTGCAGGGCCCGCGGGTGCATCCGGCTGGGCAGGCTGAAGACCGCGCTCCTCGAGATGGACAACGGCTTTCAGGTTGTAGCCGTTGACCGTCACCGAGGAGAGAAGCACCGTGACGGTTTGGGCATAGGAATGCCAATTGACCGCGGTGTTGTCGGGCAGCAGCTCAAGAGCGTCGACGGAGGTAAAGTCCACGGAGGAATCGGACGCCATTGAGGAGGAGGGGAAGGAAGGGGGGGGGGGGGGGGGAGGAGGAGGAAAAGGGAAAGGAGGAGGAAAAGGGAAAGGAGGAGGAAAAGAGAAAGGAGGAGGAAAAGGGAAAGGAGGAGGAGAAGGATAGGTGCGCGGAGCGCAGCTCCTAAGTCGCCGAAGGCGTCTTAAACGAGCTGCGCGACGCGCTCCAAGGAGGATGCGGCGACCGGCTGCACGTCGAAACGGCGCGACGAACGGGAGCACGCGACGGCAGAATCGACGACGGGCGGGCGCACGCGGCGGAGAAATCGACCGACGACCGCGCGCGCGCGGCGGCAGAAAGGCGACGGGCGCGCTGAGAGGATTTGTCGACGGGCGTCCACGGGAGCCGTGACGCACGGGCGCGCGGAGAGCGCGACGGACTGGTGTGCGCAAACGCGGAGGGCGCGCGACGGGAGGGCGCGACGGGAGGGCGCGACGACGGACTGCACGACGGA